ATATTTACATGGAAAGATTTAAGATGATTAAATATGCATGCTTATAGCTGTGCTTGTTTATCATCATATAGGATGCATCTGATGAGATGTGAATTTTTTATCACGTAACAGAAGATTAGGGTTAAATGTAGATGTAATAAAGAAATACTCTAGACGTACTGTGGTAAAAATGACAATGAGTTCTATACTTTTTGTGTTTGACCTTTGAGTCATTATAATATGAATACAAAAGTAGTTGTCTTTGTAATTTTTCTTATTATTATTTACTTTAAAACTATTTTGTGAATTAAAATACCTACTCTCTGATGGTTAGCGATACATATATTATAAAAAAATCTAAATTTGAAAACTTAACAAAAATCAAACAAATAATCTTTTTTACTTTCCTATCTGTATACAGATATAAGGAAAGTATAGGAATCATGATTTTTTTCGACCTCGAGTTTTCGACGGATTTTTACGTTTTGAGGTCCCCTGAATCCGTTTTGACTATTTTCGCGATGATGTCTGTGTGTGTGTGTGTGTGTGTGTGTGTGTGTGTGTGTGTGTGTGTGTGTGTGTGTGTGTGTGTGTGTGTGTGTGTGTGTGTGTGTGTGTGTGTGTGTGTGTGTGTCTGTGTGTGTGTGTCTGTGTGTGTGTGTGTGTGTGTGTCTGTATAACGCATAACTCATGAACCGATACACATAAAAACACCAAATTTTAAACTTAAGCTTTATTTCAGCGTCCAATGAGCTGATTAGATTTTGGGCAGAGTCGGAACATCTGGGGGGGTACTTTATAGGTGGTCATTTTTATATTTTACGGAATATATTCGTTATTTACGTTTGGAGAAGAAAATTATTCAAATAAAAGTTACTTACAATATTATTATCTATAATTTTTGTCCTATATAAAATTTTCCTAAAATGGTCCGTATTCGAGAAATTTGACAAAATGTAAAAAAAATAATTTTTAATGAAAATTGTTCAAATAAAAGTTGTTTGTAATATAATTTTCTATAATTTTTATTCTATACATAATTTCTCTAAAATGGACCGCATTCGAGATATTTGAGAAAATGTGTAAATTTCGAAATTTGAAGAAAACTCAAAAACGGATAAAGGAAAAAACATTAAATTTTAAACTTAAGGTTTATTTCGGTCTGACGTGAAATTATTAGATTTTGGACAAAGTCGGAACATCTGGGGGGGTACTTTATGGGAGGCCGTTTTTATATTTTATGGAATATATCTGTTATTTATGTTTGGAGAAAAAAATTGTTCTAATAAAAGTTACTTCTAATATTATTATCTATAATTTTTGTTTTATGTAAAAATTTCCTGAAATGGTCCGTATTCGAAAAATTTGACAAAATGTGCAAAATTCTGATTTTTATGAAAATTGTTGAAATAAAAGTTGTTTGCGATATCGATCTCTATAATATTTGTTTATACATGATTTTTTTAAAATGGACCGTAATGGAAAAATTGTAGGAAAAGTGCTAAATTTAAATTTTTCAGTATTTTCATTTTCAATGAATATCTATAGAAAAATGTTTCGCGGTAGATGTATATGGACAATGTATATATTTAGTTTATCCTCTAAACATTTATAGAGATGCTGCAATAGGTTGTACAAAATAACCGGGAAAAGCCTGTAATAACTAGATAGGAAAGTCATGTGTTGGACACATCAGATTTTTATATTCATGAGCATCTAGCATAAACAAAGGATAAATCGATAAACCTATAACTAAACCTGGCATGGAACGAATCCAACAAAAAATTTCAAGTTTGACAATCCTCAAAATATCATTTTAAATAAAGAAAATATAAACAAACGCAGATGTAGTAGATGTGAATAAACAAATAATAATGCTCCAGAGGTAAAAAATGCATCAAATATGCATATTCAAATGCAAGCTTATGAAACGAATAGTACATGACAATCAAGTCACTTAAACATAAGAATGAATTCTTTTGATTAGTTTTCAATAATTTCTTTTGGGAGATCATCTCCACTATCTAAATTGCTTAAAATTCTGTAAAACAGTGGCATAATATAAACTGCATAGGCATTATATGTTTAAATGAAGTAAAAATAAACCTACCTAGCCTCGTTTGCATGAACTTCTGTAGCATGTTCTCTTTTTTATTACTTGGCAAAAATTAAGTAGCAGTAGCATTTCTTCTAATCACAGTTTATCACTGACTAAAAGTCAAAATGCTTCGAACATATTTAAAAATTTTCTTTGTGTGATCATCCAATACTTTTTATCTAACCTAAAACAGATAAAAATGAATAACTATAATTTATAACTACATGCCGGTTATGAAACACATTTAATGTGGTAACTTACACATTAATGAATGATTTTGGTTAGTTTTCAATAATTTCTTTTGGGAGATCTCTATCAGAACTGCTTAAAAGTCTGTTAAACAATGGTTTGAAAAGTTTACTGAAAAAAGAAGGCTTCATTATAGTGTTAGCATGCGTATAGGTATTACCTATATTTAAATGAAATAGAAATAAAACTTACCTAGCCACCTTTGGTGAAATTTTCTATTCATGAGCTTCTGGAACATGTTCTTTTTTTATTACTTGGCCAAAATAAAGTAGAGTTTCTTTTTAATCACAGTTTTATCACTGACTAAAATTCAAAACAAGAAATGCTTGAACGATTTTAAAATATTTCCTTGACATGTCTTTTTTTCTAACCTAAAAGACAAATAAAAACGAATAATTATATATAACTACATAAAAGGTTTTTATTAAAACCTCAGTATAGATACTGGGCTAGAACAATAATTAAATACCTAATTGATTCATACAAAAATAATTGTTAAATACGGGTCTGTATTGGTATTAAAAACTTACTTATGACAAGTTCTTCGGAATTATTTCATCGGTTTGGACAGAATAAAACTAAACATGTTTTAACCATTGTTTATAGAAGTCTTTAGGACGTCTTTAGGGATCAAAATAACTTTCCAAAACTCACCATCGAACATATCCTCTACGATTGCTCGACGCTCTCATTTATTAGAAGATTTGTGTTTGCCGAGTATCGGCCGGTATAAGAGAAGCACCTACATTGTCAACTACATCAAATCTGTATTCTGACACACGAGCTAGGAGGTGCCTATCATCTTAGGAGGATGCACAATAGGCCTATTGAGGCCTAAGTGCCGTGGGGGTAACCCACCTTCCACACATTACAGATACAGATACATCTTGTCTGAAAGATTTTCGCAATCTTTGTTCTTCTTGCCAGCGTTTCATAACGTAAAATAGGCATTTTTTACTAAAATATTTAATTCTGCTGTCACTTCGCTTAAAGACCAATTTTCTTTCAATTTTGCTTTGAGCCTCAGTTAAACGCTGCGGAATTTTTGAAAATCTATTTGACAATATTTTTTAAAAGCCATCTAAATCACACCATTAAATTTGCCAGTTAAAAATTCGGTTTCGTCAACTGTACGTATTGGATAATTTGGAGCAAACTTTTGGCATTAAATTAATTAATCCACATGTCGAAATAAAATTAAACAAAATAAAGCAATACGAAATGTGTTTCAATGCATTCCAAACTTGTAATCGAATACTGTTTTGGATAAAATTGGACACTAATTAACCAACAGTTAAAAGTTTACATCAGTTTCACATGAAACACATATTAAAATGAGAAAAATAAAACAGGAACGGTGAATAGCATTTTTGGTTACATGATACTTTTGTATTGAAATGGTAGGTGAATTAAAAATAGACTGTAGCGCTTAGCTAATGGAAAAATTAAAATGCAAGTGATCATTTTTATGTTTTGAAATCGCAAATGGATTAATTCGTTCCTACAAAAAATAAGCCTACTGAAATAAAAGGGAGTTTGTAATGAAAAGGTTCTTTTACTATTTTATCTGCGAATTGAAATGTTTTTAGATCATCAGTTCAAAGCGTGATAGTAGCTTGTTCTGAAAATTATAACAAAAAATAATTTAAATGTCTCTTCTGCAAAATGACATAAAGTTGTATTTAATGATATTCAGGAGTAATATACCAAGATCTTCTTAAATTGTCAGCTATTTTTGTTGCGTCTAAATTTTAAGAATATTTTAATATCAATTTGATGAGAAATAGTTTGGGTATTATTAATCTTATTAAAACCGGAGAGCTCTGGTTCGAGGGATTTAATCAATAAATTACACAGGTCCACAAAAAAAAGTGGTCTGTGCCGGGTGTTCGACAAAGATTTTCCTACTTATTTTTTACCGCTGAACACGAATCTGAAGTCAGAATTGAGGGTCAAACTGCAAAAAACGGAGAAAAATTAAAATAACCGATAAAATCAATTATCTAATATTATTTTTAGTATGTTATGATTAATTTGCAGTTTCTGTTCTGTTTCTCTCTGTAGTATCCATCAGTGATTCGCAAATATGTTTATTTGCGACTTATTGTGTCTTATTGAAGTCTTTTATCGAATGAATTTTGTCTTTGATCTAAAATATAACGTCAGGACATTGAATCGGTACATGTACCGGCAAAAACCTGCTACCACGGAGTGTTTGGACTACGATGACAACTGCCCTTTAATGGGATGTGTAGAATGATTCGCTAGTCAACATTTCGTGGTATCGAAGCCAGCGAAGGCGCGCTGTTTTGCAGGGAAGCGCTAGAATATGAGAATGATGCCGTAGTGTGTCCGACGACGAGTTGACATTGTCCTCGTCAAAGTCGGAAAGCCCTCATACTTAGGCCTGGGGAGGTATGAGGGTTATCACCCCTAGGGCGGCTGACTCACCTGCGATTGGGCCAGGTATTCTAGCGTGCGGGGTTTGTTTATTTTAATGGATTGTTATGCTTCTTCTACTCAAAATTAAGCTGCATCTTCTAGTACTCATGACGATCATGAGTGTTCTAAAAATCCTAATCTCTTTTGCTACGTTTGTGCAAAATACATTGGGATGAAAAATACAAAGAAACTCACAGATAAGTTTGTGACTTTGTATGAAAAGTGTTTCAATATGGAAGTTTCTCTCAATTTGAAAAATTGGATACCTAATGTTGTTTGTGGTTCATGCTATAATATGGTTAACCGATTTGAGAAGCATCAGAACAAGGAGAAACTTAAATTTAAAACTCCAGCTATATGGAAGAAGCCTTTCGGTGCAAGTGATTGCTACTTTTGCACGACAAAAGTTGAGACTGCGGGCCGAATCCATAAGAACAAAATTTCTTATTATTCTGTATCAAGTGTGCAACAACCAGTTGCAAAGTTTATAGAAGGTTCAGAAGATGATACTTTACAAGACAGCCTGATTAGTGGATTCGATACAATGGAAGTCGACGTCGATCCTGAGAATGTAGCTCTTAATGACGAAGAGTCTGCTACTGGCAGTGAATCTGATTTCAGTGAACCTGATGAAAAAGTTCCTTCGAGCAGTGATGAAGAGTACAGGCCTATCAGTGAAGAGAAAAAGCCAGAAAAATATGACCAAAAACATCTAAATGATTTATTTAGAGAAGCTAAACTCTCGAAGGAAGCGGCTGAAATATTGGCTTCGAGTATGAAAAGGAGAAATCTTCTTACAAAAGGTACCAAAGTTTCATTTTATCGGAATCGAGAGGAAGCTTTCCGTAAATGTTTTGAAAAAAAAAGAAGAATTGCTTTATTGCACTGATGTGAAAGGACCTGTCGATGAATTAAAGCCTGAAGATTGACGTTTATTCATTGACTCGTCTTAACGCAGTCTTAAGGCAGTTCTTCTTCACAACACCAACAAGTTTGCTCCTCTACCTTTAGCTCATTCAATTGTACTTAAAGAAGAGTACACAAATCTAGAAACTGTCCTGAAAAAAAATTAAGTATGAAGAACATAAACGGCAAGTATGTGGTGATTTGAAGATTTTGTCCATGATGCTTGGACAACAATCTGGATTCACGAAGTATCCATGCTATTTGTGTATGTTTGACAGTAGGGATCGCAAAAATTACTACGTCAAAAAAGTTTGGCCTTCGAAATCTTCATTTAGGGTTGGATCACATAATATAATAAGAAAACCGCTTGTTGATCCAGCCAAAATTCTCATCCCTCCTCTTCATAATAAACTCGGGTTAATAAAACAGTTTGTTAAAGCTCTTGATAAAGATGGAGAGTGCTTTACATACCTGTGTCAAGTGTTTAGCACAAATCAGATGCGAAATTGAAAGAAGGCATCTTTGATGGACCTGAAATCCGGACGTTATTCAAAGATGAAGCATTCGTTTCTGTTATGGATGACCAAGAAAAAGCATCATGGCTAAGTTTTAAGGAAGTGTGCACCAAATTTTTAGGTAACACCAAGGACGCTGATTACGAAAATATTGTGGCCAATATGATCGCAAACTTTCAGCGTTCAGGTTGCCTAATGAATTTGAAACTTCACTTTCTTGATTCGCATCTCAACCACTTTCCGGAGAACAACGGCGACTTTAGTGAAGAGCAAGGAGAGAGATTCCATCAAGATCTTAAAACATTTGAACGGCGATTTCAGGGACAGTGGGGAGTAAATATGTTTGCAGATTACTGCTGGATGCTACAAAGAGAAACAGAGAGGTAAAAAGCGTAGCAGAAATTCGTTGCACAGGTCATTTGAGGAGAAAACGGCCAGAAAACGACAGAAATTATAAGATTGTTATGATCATATAAAAAAAATATTAGACAATGGATCTTATCGTTTTTTTTAAGTTTTCTTCGTTTTTTGCAGTTTGACCCCCAATTTTGACTTCAGATTCATGTTCAGTGGTAAAAAATACGTCGAAAAATCTTTGTCGAACACCCAGCACAGACCACTTTTTTTTTGTGAGCCTGTGTAATGCCAAATTTATGTTAAATCAAATTGTAAAATATTCACGAAATTCAGCAACAACAAAAACAGAACAGTTAAATATGTGGGCAGATTATTTCCCGCGAAAATTAAATTATATTTGGTAAATTAAAAAAACTTTATTAACAGAACACAACACAATTAAAGTAATAGAAAATTAAATCGAATACTTATTAATGTTAGGAAAACAAATATTAAAGGTAACGCGTTTTTGGTTGTTTAAATGTTTACTTTTCTGTACCTGTTCTTCTTTTAAATTCTGGGATAAACTTGTCCAATTTTGTACAGTGCGTAACTATACAATAGATGCACATACATCAGAAGGAGAATTAAACAATATTTTGAAAGACTTCTAAGGTTTCTAAACAAGAATTAATCAAAATCACAGAACACAGAAAATCTTCGTCAATCAAGTCCTATTTATAAATAGATGAACAGCACGACCAAAATGTTATAAAATGTTAAAAATGATGAAAATAGTATAAATGTGGCGGCATCAACTTACTACGTCATTAATTACGTATTTTTATAAGACTAGGTACTTACACTGCAAAAGCATCAACATGTAACTGTGATGTATCTGTTAATGTTGTTGCAGCTTTCTCCATCACTGCTACAATCGAGTCATTTGCCTTTTGTTTTTTATTTTTAGGTTCATCTGTAGATGCTCTCTACTGGTTGGTGGCCAGATTGGGCGCTTTCGCGCAATTTGGGCTCTTTTCAGCAATCATTTGTGCCACAAAAATCTGAAAAGCGCAAAGCGCAAATTGGGCACTGCGCCGCAGACTGGAATATTTTTATTTATATTTTTCCATCTATATCTAAAATTCGAAGTTAGACAGAAAACCGTAAGGGTTTCAAAAAGTTGTAAAGACACGTAAGTCGTAACAGTAGGCGAAACTGTATTGCTGTTGCTCTGTGGCTAAATGTCAAAGGAAAACGGATCGGTACAGAAAAGAAGACTTCTTGAGAGCTTAACCTTACTTAATTTACGTTTAATTGTCAAATATGTTTTTGTTTGTTTCCTGATTTAGGATTTAGTGGTTTTGTTTTGTGGCTTCGCCGAAATGGGCAAGTGGGCCAAATATTCAAAGAAACACAAAAGCGAATGGAAGAGGGAGCCGCAATTTATTCAATACAATAACAGGTCTTATATTGGTATTGTAACGTAGCATTGCATGGTACTAGTTGTAGTTTTGTACCTAGTTATTTGGGACAGCAAATAAATATTTTATGCGGTATTACGTTAGTGATAGTGATTGTTGATTTGTGGTGGTAATAGTGGTAACGGTATATTGTTTATTGTAACTTAGTTTGGTTGACAAGGAAACAAGATGGCTCATATTATAAGCTTTGCAATACAGATATAAGATCCCACCGTGCTGACCTTATAAGGCATGCCCACACAACTAAACACAAATTGCAGACGAGAAAAATAGAAACTAACCAGCTTTCTCTTCAAAACTTCGGTGAGTGGAAAAGTAGATTTATTCGTTATACGAGTTGTTTTGTTATTTGTTGTAAAATTATCTAGAAAGTAATGATAACATAATAAAATATAACGGAGTAATTAGCAAGAAACTGGTTGCTGATTTTTAGATACATAGATAAAATAATTATTCCAAATTGGATACCTTTCAATGATAACTGTAGAAGAATCGGGGGCTTTTTAAGGTTTAAAATTTTACTCGTTATAAGTTCAAACACCTTTCGACTTAGGTGAATTTATTACAGGTGTTTCTGTTTCCACTGATGCGCTCAAAAGGAAAGAAATTATCTTATCTACTTATATAGCTGCCCATTTCTCGATCAGAAGTGTCAACCACTTGACTGACATATTGAACACATTTTCTCATTCACCAAGACTAGGATTAGCTTCCACATCCGCAGAAGGCCAAACATTTCATTTACATAAAACGAAATGTGCAGCAATAATTCGGAATATCATTGCGCCCTCTCTATTAAAACAACTAGTTAACGATGTAGGTGACATGTTTTATTCTCTAATAATAGACGAATCAACAGATGTGAGCACTGAGAAGCTTTTGTGCCTAAATATTAAGTACTATTCTGTGAAAGATAATGATATAAAGGTTCAATTTCTCAGATTTATATCTGTTGTGAAAACCACATCTGAAGATTTATACCAAGCTGTGTCTGAGTTTCTGTTGGCCAATAAATTTGATATTAAAAAGTTATTAGGTATTGGCACTGATGGAGCTTCAAATTTGTGTGAAGGAAATAATTCACTTTACAAGTAGTTAAAAAAAAAAATTGGGTTAGAAAAATTAGTTTTGGTTAAGTGTATCTGCCACAGCCTTGATTTATGTTCGTCTATGGCTGCTAAAATATTTTCAGATGATATAGACTTCCTTTTAAGAGAAACCTACAATAATTCGGAATATCATTGCGCCCTCTCTATTAAAACAACTAGTTAACGATGTAGGTGACATGTTTTATTCTCTAATAATAGACGAATCAACAGATGTGAGCACTGAGAAGCTTTTGTGCCTAAATATTAAGTACTATTCTGTGAAAGATAATGATATAAAGGTTCAATTTCTCAGATTTATATCTGTTGTGAAAACCACATCTGAAGATTTATACCAAGCTGTGTCTGAGTTTCTGTTGGCCAATAAATTTGATATTAAAAAGTTATTAGGTATTGGCACTGATGGAGCTTCAAATTTGTGTGAAGGAAATAATTCACTTTACAAGTAGTTAAAAAAAAAATTGGGTTAGAAAAATTAGTTTTGGTTAAGTGTATCTGCCACAGCCTTGATTTATGTTCGTCTATGGCTGCTGAAATATTTTCAGATGATATAGACTTCCTTTTAAGAGAAACCTACAATTGGTTTAAGAACAGTTTGCTACGAGTTAGTAAATACAAAGAAATTTTTAATACAATAAACCTAAACACTAATAACAAATTTTACAGGCTTACACAATTATCAACCACTCGTTGGTTATCAAGGTACCAAGCTGTTGACAAAATTTTGTCACAATATTTAGAACTTGAGACATTTTTTAATATTCATGCTCAAAAGGAAAGATGTCATACAGCAAAAATTTTGAGTGACCTGTACAAAAACAAACGAAATAAAGTATTACTGACTTTTATTAAGCCTATTTTAAAACAGATTTATAACTTAAATCTATATTTTCAAGCCTCACATGTAGATTTCTATCAAGCATTTACTGATACAAATACAATAATATGGACACTCGCACGACAAATTTTGAAGCCACAAATTCTAGAGCACTTAGAGAATAGTCTGGATAATTTAAAAAATTCAATGTCTTATGACCAAAGTTATCTTGATATAGAACAATCAGACTTTGGATATTTTTTTGAAGTTGAAATTAAAAACTCTGGTTTAGCTGTCGAAGACGTAATAGAAATAAAAAAGAAATGTAAAGAATTTCTCAAAGTCCTTATCCTAGAACTAATTAAACGGATATCTTCGCACTTGAGTATTTTTTCAAAAATAAAAAGTATTAGCTGAAAAATAATTCTTAACCCATTAAGGCCGAAATTTAACGAATTACCCTTAGACTTTATGCCTGAAGGTAAGGTTAGTGACATTGAAACACAATATAGGCAACTTTTGAATGTTCATTGGGAGGAGATTTTTAAAAATAATATTCCAGAAGACACATTACAATTTTGGAAAAAGGTCATTACTTTAAAAAATACAGCGGGATCATTATTATTTGAAAATATTTCGAAGTTTGCTTTTACCTTTTAAGCTTGCCTACTTCAAATGCTACAGTAGAGCGAAGTTTTTCTCTCCTGAATATTATTAATTGTAAGCTGAGAAATAAAATGAATTTACATTTATTAAATTCTATTATGATTATAGGATCATATTTTTACGTTTATAAAATTTGCTGTAAAACCTTCCAACCTATTAAAGATATGTTTTCTAGATTTAATTCTAGTATGTATAAGCCACAAAATAAAAATAATCAGGATGTTACTAACGATCCTGCTGAGGTTGAGGTAGAAGAAGTTATTTCGTTATGTAATGAAATATTATTACAATAATGTTTTTGTTCTTTTAAATTTTTCTAATAAAATGGTCTCCAACTGAAACCTTGTTTACTTTTAGGTACTCTAATAAGTTATTGTAATATTTGAATAATTCTCAAAAAAAGAAATTATGTTGTGTTATCAACTAAGCATTTATTCTGCTTTACGATTTTCCACTATTAATCTTACCTCCATATTCACGAAACTGTTAACTGTTTAACAGACTGATACATTATTAGCCGTTTAGAATGTGCTCGTTGCTAGAGGTTTTAGCAACCAAATTAAAACATGAGCGGTTGTTACAACTAACAGCCTGTTAAATAGTTAAGCCAAAGCTTACTGAATACGGTCATTGATATATCAGCAAGTAATCTCAAAATATGACGTCATTTTGATGAATTTCCCAATTATCAGATAAGTATTAGGCATTAGGGTGGGCCGTAAAACAGACTTTTTAAAAGAATTTGAAATTTCGTTTTGGAATAGTGCCCAAAAGTTGCCTTATGTTATCCCAACCAAAATGTTTATTAACAGTTTTTTGATTGCTATGCATCTTCTGCCCCCTACTCCAACTCAAAATTTTCAAAAAAATTTGAAAATGAAAATTTAGAATTTCGATTTGGAATAGTGACTGAAAGTTGCCTTATGTTATCCCAACCAAAATGTTTATTAACAGTTTTTTGATTGCTATGCATCTTCTGCCCCCTACTCCAACTCAAAATTTTCAAAAAAATTTGAAAATGAAAATTAAGATTTTCGATTTGGAATAGTGACTAAAAGTTGCCTGTTGTTATTGCAACCAACATATTAATTTACAGTTTTTTTAATATCATGCGTCTTCTGCCCCCTACCAGAACCTACAGCTTATTAAAATAAGTAGATATTATTAAGTGGTTGGTCTGAATGCGGTCCTGTCGTACAGACACCGTTGGCATTGGTGGGGCGATGAGGCGTAGACGGTAGACGATTGTTTTCGTAGTTGTGGGATAAACGTACCAGCAACGTGTTGTGTTATTGTGACCGTAATTTGTTAGTGTTGCATACGAAGAAGTACTTCAGAATAATCAAATTATGAGTTTTTTAAAAACCTTTCACACAAGACAAGACACCGAGTGTCCTTTAGTGGGATCACCAGCAGATTTAAAGAACAATGTTCTACCGACAGAAGAAGATGTTTTGAGGTGCTTCTTATGGGAAAGGTATAGCCTAAAACAACCTGACCGCCGAAAAGAGCCAACAGTTTCAGAAATTTCAAACATACTTGTTGATAAGATTGTAAATTTATGGCAGAAAGCGTCAATCCCGATAGTAACACACAAACGCGTTTTGCAACTCGTTAAAATTCAACATGATAATACTCAAAGCTTTTGTGGTACCCAAAGGTTAAAAGAAATGAAAACTATGTTTTAAAAGTTAAAAGTTATAAAGCTGAAAATAAAAAACTTTTCGACATTAGTGCCTGCAAATGCAAAAATCTTGAAGAATGTCGCTGTAGCAAAGAAAAAAGGTAAATAAATAAATTTATGGTAATTTCTTTAGTTATATAATTTCCCATTTGTCGTCCGACATATTTTCTTATTTAATAGGTGATTTCTTTTGCAGGTACCTATAAATGAGCGTCCCTTTCTCATAGATCAGCGAAGTTCCAGAAAAATGGTTATGGCAGGTGTTGATGCAAAAGAAACAACCAAATTAATAAACAAAACTAGACGTTTGGAGAAAATGCAACAAAGAAAAGAATTATACAAAAAGTTTTGCTCTGAAAATGATACAAAAGTGACGCTAGACATTAAGCCAAACATTTTTTCGAAACGAACAACTAATATACCAGTTTCCTCTAGTCATTACTTAGATACAACTTATGAATAAACGTCTACTTCAAAAGAATTAGCAATTCCCAGAAATACAATTAAACTTCCTACTCTCGCCAAAGTGTGTGACAGATACGGATTATCGGATAGATCTGCAGCAGCAGTAGCTACAGCTGTCTTACAGGATGTTGGTATCGTAACAAAAGAAAGTTCAGTGCAAATAATAGATAAAAATAAGTTAAGAAGAGCCAGAGAACATTTAAGAACTAAAATTATTAATTTGGTAGACTGTGAACCTATTACTGCATTGTATTTTGACGGTAGAAAAGACAAAACATTATCTCTTGAAGAAATAGACGGCAAATCTCGCAGAAGAACAGTAACTGAAGTGCAAGAACCAGGTTCGGTGTATCTGGGACATACAATACCCTCCTCAGGATCTGCAAAAAATCTTTGTCAAAGTATAGTTGACTTTTTACAAGAAAATAATCATGATTTGTCAAGCTTATTAGCAGTGGGGTCTGACGGCACAGTAGTCAACACAGGACTAAAGAATGGAGTGATTACTCTACTTGAATATAAGTTAGGACGCCCTTTACAACGATTTATCTGCCAGCTGCATACCAACGAGCTACCTTTGAGACATCTTTTTCTACACCTTGATGGCCAAACAACCGGTCCTAGTGCGTTTGTAGGTGTACTGGGCCAGCTTGTAGCCCGATGTGAAAATTTGCCAGTTGTGCAATATGAAGTTATTGGCTGTAAATTACCGGAAGTACAGTGTAGCGACTTAAGTACCGATCAGAAATACCTTTACAAAATTTGCCGTGCCATATCCACTGGTCAATGTTCTGTAGATTTAGCAAACCAGAATCCAGGAAAATTGAGCCATTCCCGATGGCTTACTTTGGCAAACCGCTTATTACGTTTGTATATTTCCACCAAAGAACCCAGTTCCAATTTGAAAGAACTGACAAATTTCATTCTTAAAGTCTATGCTCCAATGTGGTTTTTAATTAAACAAAACAACTCTTGTACAAATGGAGCAAAGCATGTATGGCAAACCATTAAGCAAAGTCGATATTTAAGAGACGATCTGAAAGCAATCATTGACCCAGTTATCCAACGAAATTCATTTTTTGCACATCCGGAAAACCTACTATTATGTATGTTAAGTGACTCTCGTCCCCATATTAGAGAACTTGCTATGCGTCGTATTTTAAATGCCAAGAAAAGGGAAAGTTCAGAAAAAATTCGTGTTTTAAAATACCAGAAATGAAGTTTGATGCAGATGACTATACTACTTTAATAGACTGGCAAAATAATGATATCACTCCTCCTCCACTACTTCAACATTTAGAATTAGGCGAACTAGAAAATATAATAAAAGAAACCCCAAATAAAGTCATTGAGATTACATCTTACCCCTGTCACACGCAAGCTGTGGAGAGATGTGTAAAATTAGTGACGGAAGCATCGTTATCAGTTGTAGGTAGTAAAAAGCGAGATGGATTTATAAAAGCAAGATTAGATTCTCGTAAATTAATGCCACAATTTGAAAGCAAAAAGGACTTTACACAATAAGCTTATTTATTTGTTTGTTTTTTTATTAAATAACTGTTTTAGTCGATGTAAAATGTGAAAAATTTAAAATAATAAAATAATTTTTAATATGATTTGACCGAAAAATTTTAACTGTTGTCCTTAACGTTTGAATTTTCAGTATAGGGGGCAGAATTCGCATGATAATTAAAAAACTGTTAATAAACATTTTGGTGAGGATAACATAAGGTAACTTTTGACCACTATTCCAAATCAAAAATCCAAATTTTGATTTTTAATTTTTTTTTTAATTTTGAGTTGCGGTAGGGGGCAGAAGATGCATGAAAATCAAAAAACTGTAAATAAACATTTTAATGGGTATAACATAAGGCAACTTTTGGGCACTATTCCAAATAGAAAATTCAAATTCAGATTTTCAATTTTTTTTTTTTAATTTTGAGTTGTGGTAGGGGACAGAAAATGCTTGACTATCAAAAAACTGTAAATAAACATTTTGGTGGGGATAACAAAAGGCAACTTTTGGGCACTATTCCAAAAGGAAATTTAAATATTCGAACTTTCGGCCCACCCTATTAAGCATTCCAACGACTTGTCCAAATGGCTACCAGTGGGGACTGACAGTTTAGATATGGCAACCATGTTGTCATGTTGTCATTAACATGGTCAATGATACATATAGGTATAGTTAAATAGATTGCTCAAAGCTGGTCGTTTGCGAGCGGCCATATTGCCTGGCATATATTTATTAAATTGAATCGGTTTAGCAAAAATGTGTTTTAAAACCAATTTTCAGCCTTTAGTTATTTAAAAAATAATAATTGCTTACATTTTTACTTCAAGGCAAAAGCTTATGTTTATTTTGAAAAATATGGATGATCAATCTATGTAACTGTCTATTGTTAACCTTGTCAAATCACGAGGCCTACAGGGTTGCCATAATTTTTCCATATCATAACCTGTCAAAACCCACTGGTAGCCATTCAGTTTGGAATGCCTAATACTTTTTAAAAATGAAGTAACTTTTTTTCATTTTCTCCATACTAATATAATTACAAATACTGTAATAAAAAAATCGCGTTTCGCATTTTAATTGCCCATTTTGGACACTTGCGCTTTTGGGCGCTTTTCCACAACTGGGTTTTTAAAATCTGGCAACACTGATCCCAGAGACTATTTGTACTTTAATAACTAGATAGGAAAGTCATGTGTTGGACACATCAAATTTTTCCAATAGGTTAATTATTTTTAACTTTTTAGTTTAAATGTCCTAATCTCATTGCGTTTCAAATACCTCCATGCCGTTTTTGTTAAATTCAGTATCCTCGAAAATGTTGTCAGTACTATTATTTAGATTTTTTTGAAATTTTGCTAAGATATGCGCGCTCTGTTACCGTTCACATGCTGATACTTAATTTTTCTATCATACAATCACCACCAAAATTTGAAGAAAATCGCATTATTAATAACTGAGATATTAGGGTGTACTCGTAAAAAGCGGGATACACTGCATAGTAGGCATAGAATCACAGGAAGGTTATGTGATTAATATCATATTAGCCCTTATGGTCATCCAACGAGAGAATAGTGCTCTTGTTTATTATTTTACCCAGTCTTACAGAATTATGCGAACACATGTTGATTTTTTCCCAAATTATACAGCAATTTCGTGATAAAAACTTTAGGAACACACTTAAACTATGGCACTTATTTTCAAAATGTGTGGGCGTGTTTTTCGTCCCTAAAATTATCATTCGATTATGGTGTCATCATCTAAATTACCTTTTGTAATCGTTTGTGTCATATGGAAAGATAATAACGAAGAAAACAAAAATAGGCAGGTAAAATGAAGCACAGCAAATCTGACAGTTGGTTTATAACTTATTCTTTACAAATACGTGTAAAAAATTTAAATGGGAAAATAATATCATTGGTTATTATGTTGTTATAAAGATTCATGTTTTAAAGTACCTAGGAATGGTGTAACCGTTTGTAAAACCAAAATAGCCTCTTTTAAATAAATAAAATATTAATATTCTCGTTTATATTTTTTTAAACATAGTCTGTTTGGTTCCTAAAAAAGTATAAATATATTTAGTAATTGGCATAATTAAAAATTGTTCAATATAATTTATTCATTCGTTTGTCCACTCGCTTCTTCGTAGCTAGTGGCCAAATTTCGAATTCATGCGGAAATATGTGGCATTCTGCAACTTGTAATTTAATATACTATTCTAACCTAGAATTGTTATTTCTGCTCATTTTTTTTTCAGTTTTATAGCATACATATTATAAATAAACAATTAAGATCAATCTAGGTCCACTGAAACCAACATAGGCTGTGCATGGACCCCCATTTGTATATTACACTTAAGACGCATAAAAATAAATTTAACATTAATAATAATTGTTCTAAGATTGTACATTAAATAATATTGTAATAAATGCATTAAAAAAGAAAACTATATTAAGGAAAAGAAAAAACAACAGATTTGAACACAATAACAATGATAATATAGAATTATTCGACAGATTGTTGGGTGGGGGGCAGCGAAGAGAAGAATTTTTTTAGGTGTCATTTTCAGTTAATTTTCTTGTTTCAAGCCTACCTAAATTAATAATGTATTTTTATCATATTTGCAGAGTTCATTTTATCTAGATATATTTTATAAACTTCAGGGAGATCATTATAAATTTTTCGTGACAGATGAGTATGACATCGTAAGTTAATAATTTTTTGTACTGGTTTAATTTTTATATTATTATTTTCTTTGTACCGTGTGGGATAGTCATGATTAACTTTTTTAAACAATTTTTTATTTTTATAAATAAATTAAATAATTTGATGTAGAAACATTTGCCTAATATCCAGTATTACGGTTTCTACAAATAATTTATTAGATGGGTAAGTAATTTTCTTGTTACAAATTATTTTTAAAATTATTTTTTGTAGTACATCAAGTTGTTTAAGATGACAATAATATTGGGAGGTACAGCATATTATGCTGTACCTTCCCAACTCATTATGGCATACCTTAACCTTGATCCAACTAGAGCGTAATATAAATTTTTTTAGTATTTTTATTCTAAAATATTCTTAAAGTATTTAAAACGGTATAATAACTGTCTCCATTGTCTCCTTGCCCTTTTTAAATATTGGTATTACTAACGATCTTTTTAGTTCTATGGTAAACTCTCCTTGCAGTAATATTTTATTTACTAAATGAGTTAGGAGTGGGGTAAATATTTCTAAATTCTCTTTTAATAATTCTGTTTGTATATTATCTATTCCGGGTGATTTTTTGTTTGCTAGGGACTTTATTATGTTTTTGATTTCAATATTTGTTAAAGGCAATAGAACAATGGAATTTTTCTGAATATTTCTCCTAGGTTGAGGAGTGTTAGGAGGGCTTATATTTTCTGCAAGAGTAACACCTACTTCAGTAAAGTAGTTGTTAAACGTTTCAGCTAAATATTTCGCCTGTGTTACTATATGCCATCATCAGTATGTATTTCTTTTATTTCATTGTTATTGTTTTTTGATTTGCTTTGTATTTGATTAATAATTTTCCATAGACCTTTTGAATTTTCTTTATTTTCATTTATTTGCTTAGCATAAACATCTTTTTTAGCTTTTCTTATAATCCTATCCGTTAATATTCTATAATTTTTCTTTTTTTTTCTGCATTTTCCATATCTTTTTTATAAATATGATGAAGTTTGATTCTTTCTGTAATTGAGTTAATGATGCCCCTGGTTACCCATTGTTGCCTTTTACAAAAATTTTTGTTTTCTCTAATAATTTTGGTATTTTTATTTATGTATACGTTTAATGTGTTTACTAAATAACTAACTTTTTCATTTAAATTATTTATGCTATAAAAGTCTTCCCACCTGTGATTCTGAATATTTTCTTGTAACTTTTTATAATTAATCTTCTTGAAAAATGACTTTATTCAGTTGTCTCAGGTTGTATTGGAAGATATGCGATTGTAGCTTTGTGATCTGTTATATTGGTATCATATGTGGCTGCTATATATTTATTTAACGCATTAGACCTATAAAATATATGGTCTATGGTCTATATGGTCTATATAATTATTGTTATTATTTCTTTTTCATTCACAGATAATAAAAATAATGAATTTTAATTTTTTTCTCTAAGTGGTAATGGCGTATTAGGTTTTTTAATTTGTTTTGCATATGATTTGCCAACATTAATAAAAAACTAATTAAAAGCTTCTGCAATGCTCGCGGGGGTATTACAGATTACATTGTTTGTGATTATTTCTTTGGGATCTTTCTTTCTGTCATTTACACAAACGTTTCTGACTACATTGTTACAGGTTGATTTTAGTTTTAACATAATTAAATGATTTTCGCATTTAAAACACATTCTTAGTATAAAGAATGTAACATGTTGGCTCTATTTTTATAATAATTAAATGATTATCGCATTTAAAATATATTCTTAGTATAAAGAATGTAACCTGTTGGTTCTATTTCTAAAATAATTAAATAATTATGGCATTTCAAACACATTCTTAGTATAACGAATGTAACTCTTAGTAAACATTGCTTTCTATTGATTAAAACTTTGGTTAATTTAAATAATTATAGTATTTAAAACATATTCCTAATTACAGAAATAATGCATTCAATACAGGTTTGTTTTGCTTTGAATACAACTCGGTTAGATTTAATTGGTAGCACTTTGATTGTTGTCTTACCTTTCGTATAAAGATCCTGCTGTATTTATGGGACTGAGACGTATAACATAATATTTTAGAACTATATTCTATTTATTTCAATAAGTTTTCATTCCTCGCATCTAGTTATTCCATTATTTTCAGTGGTTTTCATTAAAATTGTACCTTTTGTTTTGATACTGTCAACTCTAATAATTAGGCATTCCAAACTGAATGGCTACCAGTGGGTTCTGACGGGTTATGATATGGCAAAATTATGGCAACCCTGTAGGCCTGGTGATTTGACAAGGTCAATGAAATAGATAGTTACATAGA